TGCCAGTTAGCTATCAAAGTATGTCCGGAGCAGAGCAAGCATTTGGCAATTTAGCAGCCTTCAGTGATTTAAGAAAAACCCCAAACAACTCTGTAGTATATACTCCTATTTTAATCTATAAGTAATATCTACAGCTGCTGAAGAAATACTTTTCAGCATTTTCTGTGTCTTCATAAGCTTTGACGAACACTCATAATGAACTCTTTTCCCCAGCTATGAAGTGCTTGGTAGTTTAATAACCGTACTTTGGACAGGAAGGCCAATTCTTCTCCAGGGAGTGACTTTAGGATTCAACACAATAAAAAGGCCTTCGTCACAGCCTTGTGTACATGGCTGCAAATGCACACTCATAATAGCATTGTCTTTGAGGGATGTTGTTGAGTGGGCACAGCTGGAAAATCCTTTGCCACGGTCCATCTCCTTCGATGATAGATTGCTTAAGAATTTGTCTTGAATTCTGTCCTGTAGCTTCCTGAGCTTGCTTGCTTGTGTGGTATTTAAATTCATTCAGAAGTCTGCAAAGTATTTGGATAAAAAACTGAACCGTGTTTCTCAGAGGAAGTTACCTGGTATTGCCACAGTGCCAAATCTGGCCAGAGGGCAGTCACACAGCCAGCAGATGACATCGAGGCAGTCCCTCCTCTGACAGACAAGTTTTTATGGCATCATAACTAGCAAAACAAAACTGGGCAGGGTAGGTGGTCCTCCCTAGCAGGAGCTCATCCACCTCTGGCCGGACGTGCTGTGAGATTGAACAAACTGAAGATGGGATTCCACCTGTAGGGGTGGGTTCATTTTTTGTGCTGAATCCCTCTTTTGTAGGTTTTCCAGAGGTGGATAACCTCTCCACTTACTTCAGTGGCTGGTGTTTCTATCCCCCTCTTTCCTTCAGTTTGGTTTAAGAAGGCTACCACCCCTGATGCAGCTATTCTCATTATTTGATTTTGGCTTAATCGTAGATACTTTAAGTGTTGCTTTTACCAACTACAGACTGTTTCTGAATATCCTACAGTAGGGTGGCCAAAGTTTCCAAAAAGGATTCATTAATTGCCTGAATTTAGCTCACTTTTCAAGCAAATGTAACACAGAATCACTGGATCACAGAGCAGTTGAAGTTGGCAGGGAGCTCTGGAAGCATCTGCTCCATCCCCAGCTCAATCAGGGCCACCCAGAGCAGGGTGCCCAGCACCACATCCAGGCGGCTTTTGGATATCTCCAAGGAGACCTCACCGCCTCTCTGGGCAGCCTCTTCTGTTGCTCCAGCACTTTCTGAAATGGGAATCTCTTTAAGATGCCACACATAGCACACAAGAAGAAGAGGCTACTCCAGCTCTCTTTGAGAACTTGGTCATAACCCTGTTACAGGTGTGCTGTAACTTTTGTCTATTTCACTCCGTCCGACCCACTTAATAAATTTTGCTTGGGCTATTTCTTCCTGAAGTTTTTTGAGCTGGGGGTGAAGTCAAAGCATGATGTCTCTGTCCTGTGACCATTTCACTTTGGTGGCTAAAGGGACTCTCCCACAGCGATGCTGAATCCTCCCATCATCTTCTTGCCCAGGTTTTTCAAGTCCCTTTGGGTTGTCCCCATATCTCTTGGGAGGGAGGAGAAAGTTAATCAACTCCAAGGAGTGAAACTCAGTGATGTTCACAGTTCTGAAAACTGAAAACTGGTTCATGCTGAAAACTGTGTGAAAAACAAGTTTTTCCACATGATTTCATTTGCTTCATTTGCCAATATATATATATATAAATCAGTGAGAAAATGTCCATTTCACTTTGGAGGTCGAGTCTTATTGCTGTTATCACACTGAGGCTGGCACTGGCAATCACACCCCAGCTGTTAATCACAGAATCACAGAATTTCTAGGTTGGAAGAGACCTCAAGATCATCGAGTCCAACCTCTAACCTAACACTAACAGTCCCCACTAAACCATATCCCTAAGCTCTACATCTAAACGTCTTTTGAAGACTTCCAGGGATGGTGACTCCACCACCTCCCTGGGCAGCCCGTTCCAGTGCCTCACAACCCTTTCAGTAAAGAAATTCTTCCTAACATCTAACCTAAAACTCCCCTGGCGTAACTTTAGCCCATTCCCCCTCGTCCTGTCACCAGGCACATGGGAGAACAGGCCAACCCCCACCTCTCTACAGCCTCCTTTAATGTACTTATACAGAGCAATAAGGTCACCCCTGAGCCTCCTCTTCTCTAGGCTGAACAAGCCCAGCTCCTTCAGCCGCTCCTCATAGGACTTGCTCTCCAGGCCCCTCACCAGCTTCGTCGCCCTTCTTTGGACCCGCTCTAGCACCTCGATGTCCTTCTTGTAGCGAGGGGCCCAAAACTGAACACAGTACTCGAGGTGCGGCCTCACCAGAGCCGAGTACAGGGGGACGATCACCTCCCTAGCCCTGCTGGTCACAGTGTTTCTGATACAAGCCAGGATGCCGTTGGCCTTCTTGGCCACCTGAGCACACTGCTGGCTCATATTCAGCCGACTGTCCACCATCACTCCCAGGTCCTTCTCTGCCTGGCAGCTCTCCAACCATTCCTCTCCCAGCCTGTAGTTCTGCTTGGGGTTATTGCGCCCCAGGTGCAGGACCCGGCACTTGGCCTTGTTGAACTTCATACAGTTGACCTCAGCCCATCGGTGCAGCCTATCCAGATCCTCCTGCAGAGCCTTCCTACCCTCGAGCAGATCGACACACGCACCTAGCTTGGTGTCATCTGCAAACTTACTGAGGGTGCACTCAATGCCATCATCCAGATCATTGATGAAGATGTTGAAGAGGACCGGCCCCAGCACCGAGCCCTGGGGGACGCCACTAGTGACTGGCCTCCAACTGGACTTGGCTCCATTCACCACAACTCTTTGGGCCCGGCTATCCAGCCAGTTTCTAACCCAACGAAGCGTGCGCCAGTCCAAGCCAAGAGCAGCCAGTTTCTTGAGGAGAATGCTGTGGGAGACAGTGTCAAAATGAGGTACTTAACATGCATCTCATTACTGAACCAACATTTCTGCTCTGGTGTTTCCCAGGCATCATTATCTGATCTTCTAATTATCACAACTTAATTCTTGTGTGGGTAATTAGCAGATGTATCAGGGTTCTCTGTGTGAGATGCTGTGCTCGTTATTAACCTCAGAGCTTATTTAAGACCGCGTGTAGAAGGTCCTATGACAGTGACCATGACTGCCTGGTTTGGGGTTTGGTGATGCCTGAGCTGGTGACTGGCATGATTCATGGGGTGCTTCGGGAGGCTGCTGCCCTCCGTTGGCCACAGGTCACCATCCCCAGCCATGCTTTATGGAGCAGGGATTGATGCCAGCTTAAATGTAAGGTGCCTGGCTGCAAACTCTGTTGGTTGAAGACTCAATGTGCTTTGGCCGGAGTAGCAAGAATAGTAACGTCTGGTAGGAAATAGCAGATGGCATGAATTTCCTGTATTAGCCCATCAGAGCTCAAGAAGCATTTGGATAATGCTCTCAGACATATGGTGTGATTTTTTTGGGTGGTCCTTTAGGGACCAAGGAGTTGGACTCGATGATCCTTGTGGGACCCTACCGACTTGGGATATTTTGTGATTTGTGGGAGCACCCACCCTCATTTCTTCTATGTTTTCTATAAGCCATCTCCATGCCAGAATCTAGTGAGCTGGCATTACCACTAGCCCAAAACAGGAGAAGCAATGACCTCCTCCATTGGTGAAGGCAGCGCGAGGCAGAGGAGGTGCCCAGGCAGCAGGCAGAGCAGGGGGACAGAGCAGTCAGCTGGAACAGCAATCCTGGATTCCTCACCAATTCTGGAGCCCTTTTGGCTGGATTTTTAGGGCCAAACCTCCAAAAAATAGCTACATGATGGCATTGCACTGCCTTGAAGAGAGTGTGTCTCTGTAGAAGCAGAAAATGGAGCAGAAATTTAATATCGGGGAAGGGATTGTAAGAGTAAAGTGCAAGATCGACTATAGAGGGGACAGCAAAGTGCTCTGGTATTATCATACCAAACTGGGGAGAGTGAAGTAGAGACTAAAATGAGATCGTATAAATGGGGAAAGCTGTAAACCAAAGCCTGTGCATGACTCTGTGTGTGTTACACCATACAGGCTGTGGTCCTCAGTAGACAGCACGCCTTGCAGGGAACAATTGTGCTGTCCTGTGAGGGCACTGGGGTTGTTCTGCTCTCCTTGGCTGGCTCAAAGGATCCTGAAAGGAGTCAGTGGGGAGGGGTGGTGGTTCCAGCAGTGCTTCTGTTCCCTGGAATACAGCCACGAGGGCCTAGGGACATCCACATCTCTGTGTCCCCCAGAAACAGCCTCTGAAAACCCTCAGTGATGATGGTCCTGTCCCCATGTCCACGTCCTCTGCACCCTCAATGCTGCCCCTGGGCACTGAAACAATGTGCATTTTGTGAACCCCTGCAAGCATTCATTCCCTCTTGGGTTATATTAATTTCTATAGGAAAGAAAAAAATGCATCTCTGTCCATTGAGCCTCTACCCATCACCTCTTCCAGCATCCTAGGCAGTGACACTCATTTTCCCCCTCTGTGCTGTCGACAAGCACCCCTGCTTTTTCCATTTCTAGGCCGTGGCTTTGCCATTGCTGGTCCCAGAGCAGTTCATCTCCTTGCGAGGAGCTGCAGATCCCTGGATGGCTCGTGGAGCTCATCCTGCTTGGCCCCATGGTGCAGGGCTCACCATCAGGGCTGTCTCGGTCTGCGTCACTCCTCCATGGAGCACTTCCCCACGTGGTCTGCGCCTCCCCGGCTGTGACACTAGAAAGCAGATGTTTGTGACTTCTCTCCCAAAAAAAAGCTGCAGTTGAATCCTGGAACGTGTTTACATTCCCAGTAGATATGCAATGTGGAAATGTCGTGAAATAGGAAATAGTGTCCCAGCTGAATGAGTAAAAGGCATGGGATGTAAAAAAAGAAAACACCGCTATCATCATTTCCGAGAGACTTGCCAAATTCCTCGTTTCTGTGCTGATTTGCACATCCTGCAGATGTGTCTGCTCAAATTTCCCTTCTGGTATTTCCAGCTGACACGGTACGCCAAGCACAGGCACACATTTACCTGGATGAAGAGCAAGTGCAGCTCATGGTAAGTGAAATAACTACTGGCCGTGGAACAGCGTGAGGAAGGGGATGTGACTCCGTGTGCCCACGCAGGCCACAGACCGCATGCCGTGTGTTGTTCCTCGCTTTCTAAGCAACTGCAAATGGTTCCCTGCCGCGAGCCCAGAGCTTTTGCAAGGGAGAAATGGTATTCACGCAGCCCCGAGAGCTGCTGCATGTCTACTGACAGCTCCTCACGTTTGTGCCTGATGTTAGAATGGAGCCTGCTGAGATATGGGGACCAGCCTGCAGAAGATTTCCGAGTTGATTTCCAAATCTTGTTTAAACAGAAATCGTTCTTTTTGTTGGTCTTTCCAAGGGTACCAGCTGCACATTGAGTTGCAGGTACTGTTGGGAAACATTGCACAGGAAGTGAGGCTAGGAGGGCTCGGGCGTTGCATGAATATTGACTGGTTTAAAGGTTTTGATGATTACTTTTTTGTAATAACCTAGGCCCCAAAGATGTTGTTGTGAGCTTCTATTATGGCAGCTTCTACAAAACACAACTTCTACCTCCACCAGGCTAGAGTCTGACCCAAGTCAGATGTGACTGCCATTTGTCTCCTCTGCTTTACCCAGGTTGAGGTCAGAGCAGGGGAGAGCTCAGCATTCACCTCGAGCAACACCCCCAACCTCATTTTTATACATCCAGAGCCATCTGCCTAATCAAAAGATTAAAGGGATAGAGCTGGGAAGGCTCAGCTCTCAGGTGAAGGCTGGCTCAGGGTGTGAGCTCCTGGTATGCAGGGGATGAAGAGGGTCTGGCCAGAGTGAACATCTGTAGGGACACTAACACAGTCCTTGCATGGCATGGCTGGGACCTTCTCATTTGTGCACAATACGACGTGCACAAGCAGTTGAGGTGGATGACCACAAAGGACAGAGCTGCCCAAGGCGGCAGGACCACCCTGGGGCCACCTTCACACCAGCAGGCCTTGCTGGGCAGCACAGCATCGGTGACCGTAACAGGCCCGATGGTGAGTGGGATTCCCCACATTTCTCTTAAAATTGTACTTTCAGGGCCCCTCAAAGAGAGGAGATGCAATCTGACGGAGCGGCAGTGTGATGTGGTGTACTGAGTGCCGGGATGCTGGAGAAGGGGGATCTTCGTCAAAACCACTGTAGGTACAACGACAAACAAATCACTGAGCAGCACGGGGAAGATAATATCAAGGGAAGAAGATAAATTAAGGAGATGCGTTTTGAATGTTAAATTTGAGTCTTGCAGGCTGGAAATGTCGAAACGGAGGTAGCCTCAGGGGACTGGAGCGCCAGCCCTGTGCCAAGCACAAGTGGAAATGAATTTGCGGGGTAGTTTTCTGCTCGTCCCTAGGAATCCTTGTACCTGACTGTGATTAGTGCTCAGGGCTGCCAGGAGGCCCGGGCCAGGAGGAACAATAGCGAGGAGAGATGAAACGCAGAGATTACGGTCTTGTCTATACAAGAAGGGTTGTATCGCTTTATCTAGGTGGATTTGGAGTGATGTAGTTAAACTGGAGAGAAACCTCAAGCGCAGGGGCACTCCAGCTCCCGCTGCAGTGGGTTTAACCCGAGCTGCAGCACGGCACCGCCTCGGCACCTTTGAAGGGCTGGGGCCAGATGCCTATCTCGACGTCTAAGTGCTCCCGAAAATACCTTCGCCTCCGTGCTGTGGAGCGGGACAGCGGCGGGCAGAGGTGGTGTGAGGACAGGCAGCGGGGCAACCAGGCCTGGTGGCTCCGGGCCTACCCTGGGGTGGGAACATGTGGGGACAGGGGGATCTTTGGGGTGTTTGCAGGACATCCACCTCCAGCTGGAGGACGTTGGGGCATGTGGAGAAGCACGGCCAGTGTGGGCAGCAGTGCTGGGACATGGGGGAATACCACAGCAAGTGCTCCCATGCCACCCAGCCTGGCTGCCAGGCCATGTCCTCCTCCTGTGGCCATGGAGGAAAGTGCCACCAGAGCAGGCTCTGCGCCTTCCTCGAGCTGAGATTTCCCTGTTCAGCAAAGCTTCTTCACATCTGTGCAGGCCTTGCTTCTTGCCCTGTGTGGCTAATCCACCAAAGATGATTAGGATTTTATTGTTTACCAGGCTACCTAACGAATGGGTTATCCTCTTAAATTCTGTCAAACGGAGAAGTAATTTTTCCTTCTGAAAATCACTGGCCATAAATTCCCAGCAGTCGAGTCCAGATGTGCAGTTATATTATCTACATGCAATGTGAAATCTGCTGCAGAAAAAGAGGGTAGCACCAGCCACTGCTGCCTCGTGATAGCTCTATGAAAGCAAATAGTGATTTTTCTCAGTATGTTAAATATTTATTTATTTATTTATTTATTTTTACTATTTTTGATGGGCTTGATCCTGTCAGACACTGAGCACACATTTGTCTGCACCTCTGCTGACATTAACACGAATGTGATATTGGTGAGAAAGGTGTTTTGTTGGTAAATCACCAAGCTTTGCTGGTAAATCACCAAGCAGCAGTTGGCTCTGTGCAGAACCCAGCACCCTCTCCCCTTACATGCACATACAGAGCTTGCATAACTCCTTCACAGTGAAAGCAAATGCTATTATTAGTTTATAAAGCAAGTTTTTTGTTGAATTTGGCAGACAGCGTGCATGTGTAAATTCCCCCAAATTAATTAAAACGTTTAGAGCGATGGTGGAGATAGCAGTGCTGCTCATCTAATAGATAGTTTTAACAGGTTCACAAATGCTTTTATGTAATTAATTAATGCTTGGCTACCTCAGGTGAAATAATCTGGGCATGCATGTTTCCTTAAATCAGAGCAAAGGTAGAGGGGCAAATTCATGCTCTGTTTAAGCAGCTTCCATCTAGGTTGGTCTGAAGCCCATTGCGGGCTTCTAATTTATCTCTGGAAGACAAAATGTGATCTGAACTGACTGTATGAGCAGAAGAAAGAAAATGCATGAAATAATAAATAAGGCCTTGGCGCTTGCCAGGAACCACTGCCAGAATATTCTTCCTGCCTGAATTAGCTTCTCTCCTTTTGTAGTCATGGAGCAAAACCCGACTTGGACCTGGTGAACGGTGGCTTGTGCCGACCCCGTCACTCTGGCAGTGGCAATGCCATTCGGACAGTGTGGCAGGGCGCCAGCCACCTCGCCTGGCTTGCCTCCTGCAAGGAAAAGCAGGGGACGGCTTGGTGAGTGAGCTAACAGCGCTAATTTGCCTGAATTTAACGGGATGTATTAAGGGTGCTTCAGCCAAGCAGGGACAGCTAATGGTATTACTGTGAGTGTGTTTGGGAACACTTCAAAAACGATGTGGCTCAGATGTAGCTCCTCTGCCTCCTACCAAGTTCCCAGGCTCAGGACTTTAAATCTGGGCTCAGTCCTCTCTCTGCCTGGTGCACGGGGCCACAGGTACACACAAAGCTTGAAATGCTGCACAGCTACAAATGAAAACCTTGCGGAGAAAGCCCACAGCTGGAGCTGAAGCAGATTTTCTGAAATGACCAGGCAATCCCAGTGTGACTGCAAAAGTGGCTGAGGAATATAGTCATTTCTTAAAATCAGACCCCACGTGTACTGAGGCTGCTATCCACTGATCGCCGCAGCTTATAAATACACACTTACTCACTCTCTGCTAATGTTCACCAAGGAGGATTGCCCGTGTTTTCACTGGGTAGAAAGCTGTATTTTAGCTCTTTACTGCATCATCTGAGTAATTCTTTGATAAATGGCTGTCTGTTTTCCCTGGGCAAAATCAGGCAGAATTAATGACTACAGTGTAAAACAACCAACCTGGCTCCCAGATTAAGGTGAGGGAGAACCTCTTCCTCATCTTCCTTTGCAAGCTGGGCATATCTGATCTGAGTCACAGAGGGAATCAGCTTAGAGACCTACCGTCCCACTTTCACCTCCTCGCTTTTCAGAACAGCATCACACTTTGAAACTCTGCCTAACACTCAGCCCATGCAGGCACCTGAAATGCAAAGCTGTGCTACCTGCAGACAGGACGGAGGTACCTGGCTGGTTCATACTCAGCTCCGAACCATAAACCTGGACACAGCTCAGAAGCACCTCCAGCTTTCTATCAAATGTGTTTCCAAGTCAGTGTGATCGGTCTCTGGACACAGCTTGGTCTGTTTCTATCTCCTGATGACAAGGCTGCTTCTCACCCCGTCACCTTCTGACATTATAAATCTCGCAGTCCAGGCTGCACATAGCCTTGCTCTGAGTAGGATTTTCTCAAGCATACCTGCCAACTCAGACCCATAAATACATTTTAGGGGCTTCTAGTGCCTAAATCTGAGACCATTTCAGTCTTTTCCACATCTCTGTCCAGACCAGGACATTTTGAGCATCCTCTTAGGAATTTCCAAGTTATCACTTATATTCCTAGTGAATGGTCTGCAGGACTGCGTGCCATTGCAGAGCAGCTTCAGAAGGTCTGCATTTTACCCTGATTGTTATGAACATTAAGGAGACCCCTGCAGGGAGGTTGATAGCATTTTTGCTGGATGGTTGTAGCTGGAGCTCATCTAGTTTTCATGCAGGTAGTCACCTAGGGATATCTGCTCCAGTGAACTTTGGTGTGGAATGGACATTAAATTAGAAAGCCAGCATTGTTGCTTCCTGCATCACGTTCAGTAGTTTCTTTCCATGACTCTGATGCCTAGCAGGCGAGCTCCCACCCTGGAAAAAAAGGCTTGTAAAGTAGATATCCTGCACAGCTGTATGTGAGGGTATTTCCTATTTATTGTTTAAAGAAAATCTCTGGAGTAAATTGTGGAAGAAAAACACGGGAATAAACGTGGGTTAGGTTACTCCCTTGTAAAAGACACAGCACTTCAAAGAGTGTGAGGCAGAGTGCTCACATTCCTCTGTTTCTTCTTTGCTTCCTTTGACAGATTCCTCTTTTTGGAAACACAAATCCTAATCCATCGCGCAGCAGATTTTATCTCTGCCACAGGTACAATTCTGGAGTAACTCCTCTGGCTCCAACAAAGTTGTTCCAGATCTAGGGCTGAGCAAGAGAGAGCAACAGCAGTCAAGTCTCTGCTCTCCAGGACCACGTCTGGGTGCTGCTGTAACACCTTGCAGATTTACACCTACGTCAGGGCCCTGCAGTGTACAGCGCTGCTCCCTCCTCCGACGAGGGAGCATCCTGGTCACACAGGATGTATGATCAGCTTTACAACTTCAGCTACTCCATGGCTTTCCTGTCTGTCTCATACCGTTCTTTCTTTTGCCTCTTTCTTGATTTTCCCTGTGTTATTTTCCTTCTTTTATTTTATTTATTTATACAGATAAGCATGTTTGTGCAGGCATATGTATGTGCACACATGGAGGTACACTCTTTCTGGCCTTCTGTCTTATGAACAAACCTCATTCTAGACAAACACGTATGCGTGTATATACTTTTATAAATATATGTCTATTCATATAAATGTATGCACAAATATTTTCACAACACCATTCCAGCCATGGAAACTGGATCTCTGACGTGTTGGCATTGCTTGACTTGCATTTCAAGACTTCAGTCAAGAAACAAGTAAACACCATCTCATTGTGAATGAACCGAATGCAGCCTCACGCTCCTCTAAACCCACTCGTGAGGATCCACCTGTTCTCACCATGAAGGCACCTTCATCTGTAGACACAATGTCTGCTGTTGGCCTTCTGTTCAGCAGAGTTCAGAGGGGCTCAGCTCTTCCTTCCCCAGGGAGAAGGGCAGGTCTGGGACATTCAGCGTGATGGAGCATCGTGCAGGAGGAAAGGTCTGACCGTGAGCTCAATGGCTACGCACCATCAGTAAGCCATAATGACCAGAGCTACCAAGTGGGTTTATTGAGTTTTGGTGGCTGGGTGTCACTCGTGCCACAGCTGGGAATTGTTGGCTGATGGCCAAGCCTGGTATGTTTGCTACTCAAAACCTACCAGCCTGGCTGTATGCAGAGGGATGCAAATTGCACCATCTTTTTATAGAGACATTGGAATGAAAGAGATGTTTTTAAAGGTCTTTTTAAAATTCCTCATCCTCATCTGCGGTTTTGGTCTTTGTCATTGAAAAAGTCGCTCTCAGAACAGGCCGTGTTTCCTTAATGGGCTAAGGAAAGAGCCTGTGCTACTTTTGGATTCTCTTCTCTGCAACAACAATTGAATTTGGCCTGGAAGTACGGTAGTCTGCAATTAATGGAGGAAGCAGATCGTCAGGTTTCTTTTTCTTGGCTTTATGAATGGGCCTGAGCAGTGTCGCTCAGACACCGATACCATCCAGGCAAGGTGAACCCTACACAAAAGGCTGATTTTTAACCTCACAGGGAAAAACAAAGTTCTCCCCAGTCTGGAGAAGCAGCTATTTTACTCTGTTCACCAAAAGCCTTTCAGAAAAGAGACCGTGGCCGTGTCCCGGAGGGAGACCTTACTTTTGTTCTTTCTTGTTGTGTTCCTTCGTATAAACATATCCAAGACTGAAAGTATTTGGCTGTTCTTCCCGTCTGGAAACATAACAAGAGTCATGATGATTAGGTAAGTTAGCTGTGGGGGTGATGCATCTCGCTTTGTCTTAGCCACCTGGCAATTAGGCGTCTTGGCTCCGCGAGGCACCTTGGCTCCGGGAGCTGGTGGAGGGGAAAGAGGCACCTTTGTGGGCAGTTCAGCCCCTGCCTTCAGCACCTGTCTTGGGACGGGAAGGCTGGCTCCCCAGAGGGGTTTGTCTCTGCCATACCTATTGAGGAAACATGTGCAATTAGATCAGATCACGTTTGGCACTGAGAAGGGTGAAGCCATCCCTCTATTCCTAGTCTTAGCCTCATGCATCTCCTCTTTGTCTTTTCTTTCTTTCTTCTCACAGCCGGCCAGCGAGTCTCCGAATTTCCACTGTCGTGCCTCAGTGCTGTGTCCCTGCTGTCCTGCGAACACTGCTGTTCCGTGTGAAAATTCAGACATTCTGGTTTCCAAAAGGCTGCTAAAATGAAACGTCTAAACTAACAGGGACACACTTTCCAGGCAAAACTTCCTCACCTTCTAGACTGCACAGACTTGTCTCTCTCTCTCTCTTTTTTTAAAAGCAATAAGAATTCTTTATGCAAGGAGTCTAAAAAGACATCAAACAAGTGAGAAGATCACTTTGAGCTGTGTCCTCGTGCCTCTGTGTCAAACCATGCCCATGTGCAGTTTTATCAGCTGTTTCAGAGCTGTTATTTGATATCTAACGTTGTTATGCTTTGGGACAAAGATACTGTGATGCCTCCTGGATGAGTGTTTTTCTGCTATGAAAAACAGAACCCTTTTCTCCTTCCCTAAAAAGCAGCTCCCTTAGAAGTCTCTTTAGAAAAATAGATAATTTGCTGTCTATTTCTGGTTAATGCTTGATTTACACTGTTGTTACTGGGCCCTATAGAAAAGGGCTGCTCCTATCACAACATTTCTAGATACATAAACAGTCAAGACCAGCCATTTGAAAGTTCCCTCTTCTCTAACCCAATATTATTTAGCTTTTGCTTTGATCTCACGCCTGGAAAAAATCTTTTCCTTGAAACACTGCAAGTTTTCACAGTTCTAATAACGCATCAAAGCCGATACCATATGCAGTCCAGCTAGTCCCCAGCATTAGCTCATTTTGTGAACCCAAATACGTCTCTTTCCCCCTTCTTTCAGTTTTAATTTTGTGCTTTCTCTGCAGTGGTTCTGGGGAGCAGCGTGCTGCCAGTGCGTGGGGAAGCGAGAGGGTGAGGGTGCTGGCTACGGCCAGGCACAGCGCCGTCAGATGCTTCCTCCCAAAGGACTGCCAATGCCCTGAGCACCTCTAGACGTCTCGTGAGCACAGACTGCTGCTCCTGCCAAATTGCATGGCGGTTTTGGGGATGGAGACGAATATCCATTGAGTATTTACTTGATGCTATCAAACTCGTTTGTCTCGTAACCAAACTCCGAGTCCCTAGAGGTGAAATTCAGTGCATCAATCCGCCGCTCCATCTACCCATCTTTAAAAGGAACATCATTAACATGCCTTGCACATGAACAAATGTGGCTTTGTTCCATGTTACTTCATTACTGCATTATTTAGGGCTGATAGGTCTGAAAGCCAGGAGGCACCTTTATGATCACCTAGTCTGATCTCATGAGTACCACGAGCTAGTAATCTAGGCAGTAACCTGTGGTTGATCTGTATCACGTATTTTAGAAAAATAGCCAGTTTCCCATGGCAGTTTGGACCGATCTCCCTAGATGTGCTGATTTCCAGCAAGTTGTATGCCAAAGGGGGGAGCGGAGAGCACAATAGCAGAGCTGGTATTTGCTGTGCAGATCTGGAAGAGGAGTTTCACCCTAGGAAGCCAGACAGGCCCAAATACAAACAGAGATGGAAAGAGCACCACTCTGTAGATCTGAATTTAGATCTAAACTCTGGCTGAGGGCCTGTTTCCCTTTTTAAGTCAAAGTGGGAAGCAGTCTGCTAAAGGAAGAGAATTTGCTACCGGGATACCATGGATGAGCTCTGAAAAAAATGCATCCATCTGGACTTGGTGTGGGGTGAAGAGACCTGTTCTGGAGGAATAGAAACACCCTTAGAAATGTTCATAGTTTTTTGTTTTCCTTTTCAATTGAGAAGTCCATTCTTGGTGTTGACTGCATGGTCAGAAAAGACTGACCTGTGGAAATGTGTTAGCTTTGGTGAAGGACTGATGAAACAGACTCTAGCCCAGGAACCTGCCCAAGTTGTTTTTTTTTGCCTGCTCGCTTTGTGGGCTTTCAAGATCCAGCCAAGGTGACTAGCCAGGTTCCCTTCTACAGAACCAGTATAGGACTGGTGCTTTAATGAGGTATCAGCTCCAAACCTTTGGTCCCAGGAACCCCTCGCTCTCAGGATCTCCCTGAAATGAGATTAGCCTTGCCCTACAGATTTATTCCCGAGTGTGTCACCTTGGGCCAAGAGGAACAGCTGCTAAACCCAGGGGATCTGGCCACCCAGGGAAACCAAGCACCCCATGGATGTGGACCCCCTTACAAGTTTGCTGCATCAGAGAAGCTGCAGCTGTCAACACATTCTCCATAAATTAGGGGAAAATGGGAAAGAGGAAGGACAAAGTTATCTTGGGCATGCTTCGAAACCTATGCTCTATGGTTTCACCCTTGGAGCTGGACATCGGAGCACATCATCCACCTGGTCGCAGCTCTGGCCTTGCAAACCCGCCTGGGAGACAGAGACGAGCTGACTGCCATGCAAGTGGGCTTTAAATGTGAAATGCTGGGGTAGGGGCTGAGCAGCAGCACCCTACAAAGGGGTGCTCTGTCTAATCTGCGTCCGAGAGCAACGCAGCCACTACACATCCCATCAACGCTCCAGGCAAGCGCTGGAACAAAAGGCAGAGGCAGTAAGGGGGGCTGTGGTGATTAAGTTCTGGGAAGATTATTGATTTATTGAACGAAGGTCAAAACTACTCAGCAAAAAGGCAGGAAATCTTAGCACAAAGAGGCTCAATGTGGAAACGAGGAGCCTTAGCGTCGAGCAGGAAAAAACAGCGCACACGAGTGTAAATGAAGCGTTTAGGAAAGCTAAATAAGGAAGGTCAAGGCCTTTCCATGACACAGATCGGTGGGTGCAGCGCAGCAACAAGCAAACAGATCTCAGCAGGCGTGACTGGCAGCGTTGGCCCCTGTGTGATGGATGGATGGCCGGCAGAACAGAGTGATGGGTGATGAACTAGCTCCAGCGCCAAGGGAGGCTGGAGCTCCTAAGCCAAATCTCCTCAAAAAAACACTAAAAAGGCCAAGGCCTGGCCTCTACCAGTGGAGCTGGCTGGCATGGCCCTACCACAGCCTCCCTGCTAGGTTCCCTTTAGCTTCCAAACCACAGTGGCCACATCCTAACCACCTGTCGGGAAGGATCTCTTCTCAATGCAAACTCCTAGACCGTGCCCAAGAAGAGCTTGGGAAAACGCTGTCTGGCCTGGGTCAAAACACACCAGGGATTTCGTGGATGGCTCTGACTGGTTCTTAGTCTAGACACAGAGGACACAGAAAGCTGGTGTAGCCCTTCTGTCTGAAGCATCATTGGAGGCATCACCAGAACTGCTGCTCTCCTACATAACTCATGAAATTTTCCTTATTGCCCGGTGTGGTTGTGTGGTTTGTAAACCAGGAGGGCGAATCCACTGAGGAGCCAGCCAGGAGAGCACGAAGTGGATTCCCCAGCCCTCAGTGCTTACAACCAGCAGAAGCTGCAGGTGCCCAAACCCTCATGTCTCCTTCCTCCCCCCATCAGACCTCAGTTTCCCCAGCTGTGGCTTTTCCAAGGTGAAGGTGTGGGGCTGCTGCGGGAAAGAGGCTGCTGAGGGTGGCACGGGAGGGCAACAGCAAGGGATGGGTTAGGTGAGAGCAGGCAGCCTGCCGCAGCGTTTTGGCACGTGTCTCCCCACTCATGTCTCCTCTCTTCTCCAGCAGCAAAGGCAGACGGCGTTAAAACCTCCGTGGCTGCCCCCCCGAGCAGTTCTTGAGACGGGAGCTCACGGCTCCTGCCGTCTCCCTGCGGCGTGTAGGCTTCTGCTCCACCCCACCCTGCCTTCCCCTGGGCTGTCTGATTATGAGTGTGGCTTACCTGGCCACGAGCATGTCTGTGTATATGCAATCACTCATTTGTTTGTGTACGCTCGCGAAAAGACAACAAAGAAGCCAGTGCTGGCAAACACGGCTCCTGCTGGCTTCGGAGAAAAGCTGTGTGCATTTATCTGCTTGTGAACAAAGTCGTACCAGTGGGGCTGAGCTGAGCGTGGAGCAGCTCACCTGAAGATCCCTGCTGCAAGACAAGAAGGAGCAAAGCTCTAGAGGAATTTTTCTTTGCAGGGCTTTTTACTGGAGCTAGCATTCATTAACATGGTGCTTTGTGGAGAGCAAAGCACCTCATAGGAAAGTGCGAACTGCCTTTGGCTCTCAGGCCTGAGAGCTACACGTGACTGCTCAGGTAAGGAGTTTAGGGTCAGGAGCACATATATGGGACATCTCAGTTACTAGTCAGTGGCTTAGGGACTGCTCTGGAGACTGAGACAATTGACCCAGTGGAATAGGTGGATCCATCCCTCATGAATTGTCTCAGCCATTTAGGAACTTCAAATTTTAAATCCCCACTTTGAGCCGTTGGGCTCCCCAGTAGTGTGTGGCAATGGATTCCACAACTCCCCGTACAAGTTACTTGGGGTTGGATGATTTTTCACCAAATCTCTCGGCGTGACTGGCACAGCTGCCTGGAAGGGCAGGGGTGAAGCTGATGACGTGCACCTAACAGGTGAGGACACAGAGCAGAGGAGGCAACGGCACCACTCTTCAGAAGAGTGAAATACAACCCTGGGTGAGCAGGGGAGCAGGAGCCAGTTGTGTGGTGGCTCTCAGCCCTAAGTGTGACAGGTCTGTTTGCTCCTCTGCCTCTAGGTGCTGTCTCCTGCTGAGGTTGCTCACAGCCAGGCTTTCTTTCCCATCTGCAAGGCTTTTCCAAAGTCTGTGTGCAGGTAGCAGTGCTGGGAAAAAGCAGAAAGGGCCACGGCACTGAACCAAAGTAAGGGAAGGCTCCTGGCCAGGGGATGGCTGAATGGACTGAGAAGAGAAACGAGTGGAAGAGAACATGGTATGAGTCCACACAATCATGAACGGCAGGGAGAAAGGACGCAGGAGATCAGTGTGATCTCCAGTCAGAGAGCTGGGCACCACCAAATGAAACTCCCAGGCAGCAAGGTCAGCTCAGAGGAAAGGAGACGGTTGTGCTCCCAGGGAGGAGGTGAAGGTGGTAGGTGCCGAATATTTACATGAGCTCAAATTCACAGAAGAAATATCTATTGATAGTTATTAAATGCAAAACCGCAACCTCTCCTCCGGGATATCCACGGAGTCAGGAAGAACGTCCCGGAGCAGCAGTATTACTGGTCTGTCCTCTTATACTCTTCCCTGGCATCTCCTTTTTGCCAGGAAGGGAAAAGATCCTGAGATAGATGGATCCTTGATCTGGCACACTTGGGCTTTCTTAGGAATTCAGGTGTGTTCTCGATGTGAAGGCAAAAGACATCGCTTTTGGCACTTTGGACAATTTGATCCCACTGATCTTATCTAGCCAGTGAAACGAGGTTAAGGTTAAGATGAGTGCTTAGGATACCAGTGCACAAATGGCATCTCCCCTCTGCAGATCTTGGCCCAAAATGGCTTCTGACTTGCCCGTGTGTCACCCAGGTCCAGCAAAGAGGAGTAACTCTTCTGTTTGAGGGAAAGAGTGCCCTGCAGCCAGAAAAACTGGTAGAGTTTGCCTAAGGTAGCCTGGACGTGTCGGATGGTCGTGGATGCTGGTGTCCTCCGCTCAGCATTCGGGCTGGTCTAGCTGTGTGAGATCATTCAGCCTAACAAACCACCACGTATCACCTAGCGCCAGCAGTCAAATCACAGCCTTCAACTTCAATTTGTCTTTCCAAATGTGTGTATCTGGGAGGTGCAGCAACAGAGCGTGCGTTCAGTGATGCGGGACGCAACAGCACCTTTTCCACATTGGGCTTTTCTTCGGAAAGGGGCACTGCATGAAGTGACATCGCCTTTATGGGTGCTGAGATCCCTGGTGTGTGTGAATCCATTTGGGTGCAGCTCACACAAAGAGCGAGGTCACCCAGAGATGCGGGCCACCCAGCCTGAGAGCTTGGCTCAGCCACGCAGGAGTCATTTCCTCAGCCTGCCAAAGCATGAAGCCGGGGTTAGCATATGCTCGTGTATGTCATGCTGTTCATCTGATAACACTGCCTGATGATTAATCACTGTAATTAATTGCACGTTAATGTAGCTCGCTGCAGCATATTGAAACAGCAATGGAGATTCCCTCCTCAGCAAAGCAAAGGAGTCCTGTGGCTTGTAATAGGACAGGTAGAAAAAGAACTTTGTTTTAAATGTCTGTGATGCAACGTGGTGAATCCACGTGTCCTCTCTGTTGTCCTATCTGTCCTTCCCATTCTCCCCTCCCTTTTACCTCCTCGTGTGCAGGACTTGCTCATTACCCGTCTGGCAACCTTGGACGTGGAGAGATAGTGGTTATCTTGGACAACCTCTTGCTCAAAGTACAGGACGGAAGAGCTGTGCCAAGCCTCTTCTGCCACCCTGGGCAGAAGTCCTGCGTTTTTGTGGGGAAAGGCATATCGTGGAGCTGCCACGGGGTGGGATGCTGCCCTGGCGGTGTGCAGATAAGGGAGAGTGCTGGGCTGCATGGAGGAGCCATGAGGCTGCTCTGGGGGTGTGTGTCCCACCCCTCCCATGGCTCTGTTCAAGCTTCCCCAGGAAGCTTGAGCTCTCGGGGTGGCAGGCAGTTCTCCACTCTGGGGTGTGATAGGACCACCTCTGGTCTGGAAAAAAAAGCTAAATCCTTCCTAGGCTATACCTATTTCATCTACAAACGAGGCAGTGAATGTCAGGCTGGGAAAAAGGAGATTTCCTTCCTGCAGGTGACTCGCCTGTGCCTCGGAGGCAGAGTCACAACACTCTTGGACAAGAGTGTTCATGATGGAAATGGATGGATGCAGCAAGGACCAGGTCTGTGATGAAACCAGCCATGGTACAATGGCTGGATAATAATTCCGTGAAAAGGTCATGGGAATGCAACATGTGTGAGGAGAGTCAGATGTAACCATGAGCAGGTCCTGCTCTGCTTCTTAGCCTGAATTTGGCCTGAAATGTAAATTCTGCAGAATTCTTGTCAGGGAGGTGCCCAATGCCCAGGGCTGGGACAGGCCCTGGGGACAGGCCCTGCTCCTGGCTGGGGCACTGAGACAGGCCCTGGGGACAGGCCCTGCCCTCACAGCCCCATGGGGATCCCCCCAGCCCCCAGCCCACCTGGTGCACTGACACTGGGCTGGGTCAGAGGAACCAAATCCCCCTAAAAATAATGTGACAGGAGTGAGATGGACAAAGTCTCCTCCTGGCCCTTGCCACACGAACCCCTAATGAAGCAACTGGAGTCTGCTAAGCAGTGGGCACTGTCAAACCCAGATGGAAGACCATGGAGTACAGACTGTGCTGACACGTGGGGCCCCGAGTGCTACTAAGGTGATTATTGCTTGTATTTCTGTGCCTCTATTCTGAATTTAAAGTGGAGGTTCTCCAAACTAGGTGACATTTTATGTAAAGGCACCCAAGATGGAGGTTTCTTGCATCATTGTGAAAGGCTTTGAGTTAAAAACTAACTAACTAACTAATAATAATAAAATAAAAGTCATGTAAGGGTAGAAAAGGCCTCAGATGTTTTATCCTAACCCTGAAAGAACAGTAAATGGAAGTGCTGAGGGAGGTTCCCAGTGTCAAACACAGCCCAGTGGAGTGACAGGGCCCACGTTAGAGATGCAAGATGAGAGACTCCCCAGAACGAGGTAGATACAGAGACTTGTGTCCTTTGATTAAAGAGGCACTTAACCAGGTAATCCTGCATATCAAATCTATTTTTACAAACTAGTATCTGCTGTTTAAGCACATTGCTGTGAAATGCAGGCTTTGACATGAACCCGGTAAGCACAATTATCCCCAACCCAACGAGCTGGTGGAAAACCTATCAAACTCACAGGAAGCAGCTGGAGCAAGATGAGGAGGAGTGATCGGAAGGCAGTCAAATGGAGGATAAATGGGAAAAAGCTCAAAAAGTAGGAAATGAACGTTGTCATTTTAGAATAAAACATGAGTACGTTGTATAATAGCTAAACTTTGTCTGAAACAGACTTGATCATGTGGTGAAAGGGTTGGAGAACTACTAGGATTTTATAGAAATTCATTTGTGAGGGAATAGATGGTATATTTTAGAGAGAAATACATTGAGAAGTCCAATCTAGGTCTGGGAATTCAAATCATGAGTAGTTACATCCCAGAGGGACAAGTGTAAGAAGCTGCTCTCTGAACAGGTATTTTTCACTTGTGAGCAGTTGCTATGAGTAGCAATGAGTGTTTTACCTTCCTGATAAAAAAAAAAATAATTAAAAATCTGTTGCTCCAAACAGAGGACCTTATTTCAGTAGTCATCTACATGTTTTGCACAACTGAAACTGGGAACAAGAGTGCCTGGCTTGCCAGAAGCCCAGAGCAGGGCCACTGCACAGAGAGCCAAGACAAAAGAAGCTTCAGGAGAGCTGGGGTCTGTGCGACTGCTGCTTCTCTGTGGGAAAGATGCTGCATTTTCGGGTGGTACAAAACAATTGCCACAAGCAGCTGTGGGGGTCCTTGGATGGGTGAGGTTATCCCAAAGGACGCATGGGAAATAGGCAGCATCTCCTCCAAACCCAGAACAGAGAGCCCTAAGCTGGCTGCTTTGCCCAAGAAAACCTCAGACGAGCACCAGCCACAGCAGGCTGGGACAGCTGAGCCCCAGGGCATGGCACAGCCAGAACCAGTGGCCTTCTGGTGCTTTGTAACGCTGGTGCCGATGTCTCACTGGAGACACCCTAAACAAGAGCTCAGTGTACGTCCAAGCTACGCATGCAAACACGCTCTGCTCTCTCCTGTCCGGATGAGCCTTCTGCATGGCACATTGGCCACTAACAGAGGTCATCCCTTATGTAAGCTGCTGTTCCAGCAAAATGTTTCAAAAGATGAGATTGTTCAAAGACGAGCTTGGAGTGGGTGGTGGTTTCTTTCGGAATTCGGTCACCAGAAGAAAGGAAGAGGCTGCGAGCCCTTCTGGTTTAATTATTGAGCCTCTCTAAGATACAGTATGATTCATTTAACTGCTCTGCCCCTGCTACCCCCCTGTGGAAAATAGAGACAGTGA